AAATGCTAGACAGAAACATAGGTAAAGTCATCGATGATGGCTGCCCTTGTTAATTAACCAAGAAAGGGATCAAATATTTACTCATCAAAGTTCAATGCATTTGTCCAGTTCAGCACTTCATCCACTTCCCATTCCATCACAGAATCTATTCCATCATCTTCAATAGCTTGTATCAGCCCTTTTGTTGCTGTATGAATTAAACCTAGCGTTTCATAATTTGCTGACTTAGCTTCCAGATTTCCTGCGTAGTACCTAAACAAAGAAAAGGAAAAGAGATGTAAGTCCTTTGGAAGAGGTGAGTACATGCAGATGCAAGCAGTTGACAGATGTTCTAGAACAATTTTTATATTAAGCCAAGTTTTCATCATACACAATTCAGATACATCTAATCCAAGATCTCTTTGTGATGGAATTTCTTGGAGGGGTGGGGGTTGGGGTGGAAGAAGCTTGATTAAGCATAACTGTAGGGGGCTCATTTTAAAATCATCACTGAATATTTACATTTTATGGATACAAAGAGAAACTAAGTTATTGAATCATAGAATTCTACACCTAAAAGAATCGTAGAGACCATTCATTTCACAGTGAGGGAAATAACTTTCCCGAGTAACTTTCACAAGATCAAATGGTTCATGGCCGGCGGGGACAGGAAGGAAAGGGGGAAGGGGAGAGACAGCGGTAAAGGGGACAAAGATACTGACATCGAGTCTATGCCAGGGTCTTCTCATATTTTATCTTGGTGGATCTTGTAAAGGGGGCCCTGGTGGCACACATGGTTGAGCACTGGGTTACTAACCACCCAGAAGCACCTCAGAAGACAGGCCTCTGGAAGGGCCTCTATGGAGCAGTTCCATTCTGCATATGGGGTCACCATGAATTCGGACCGCTATCCATTTTTCTCTGTCACCCTGCCTCTCTTCTCCTCATCCCTCCCCTCTGCTTCTCTCCCATTCGCTCTCTCTTCAATCTCTCTCTCTCTTCCTCTCTCTCTCTCTTCCTCCCTCCCTCCCTCCCTCTAGCTCTCTTTCTGTCTGCTCAGAATACAAACCGTCAGTTCAGGGAGACCTTCGGGCTCTGTTTGAGTCCCTTTCGGACACTGTAGCCTAGACATTCTCGCAGGCAGCACAATAAGGCAATTCTAGCTTCATCTTTTTTTTCTCTCCTTTCAGAGATCAGAGTCCTCAGTTTCCTGTTATCCAATATCTAAAAATATTTTAATATACTTATCTATTTTAAAAGGTTTTTAATTTGCTTAAAGTGGGCAGTTAAATCTAGCCCTATTACTCCATCAAGGTCAGAAACAGAAGTTCTACACCCTTTGTTTCCAGAGTGTCCTTTTTGAAGTCCACACATGATCTGACTTCTGTGATAATAATTTTTAAATGATCCTTTTGTGCCTGTGTATACTACTTACACCCATAAGAAGTTAGGTCACTGCACTATCTTTAGCCATCCTCATTAGTATAGCGGTGACTATGCCCTGCTGTCCACT